TTAATTTCTGTGACAAATAAAAAAATTATCCTCAAATTTGCCGCCCCAAAAATCTGCCGCCCTAGGCTCCAGCCTACTCAGCCTGCTGGTAAATCTGCCACTATCACAATCCGAAAGATAGACAACGCATCGCTATACGCTATGACGCCACCCACAAGCGGTATGGGTGTGCGATGTCCACGTGAAATCCGTATTGTTACAACAAACCCGCTTACCACCGGCATTAAGATAATTTGTCTAGGACACATCGGTTAGCCAGTCCAATTTTACCTCTGTCTTAGTTGCACGTGAAGCAGCATAGATGCTACTATAATAATCCTTTTCAAGTCGTATTTCTATAAATATAATGCTTTTACTTATATGAAACCTCCTACATATTTGCTTTATTTCATAGACCTTACTGTTATATGTCTTTAATATATAGGACTTCAACCCATAACTCTACTATCATAATGCGTATGTATCAAAGAGACCTTCTATAATAATGTTTTTTTGTATTATAGATGGTGGTGATGGTGGTTTGGTCATTTAGAAAAAATGAATGAGGAACGAGTGACAAAGAAAATTTATGTTGCAGACGTGAATGGCAGAGTCGAAAAGCGACGTCCTAGGCGAAATTTTTTTGACCAAATTGGCGATTTATTGAAAACGGGCCAAATTAGGAGTACCCTTAACCGACGAGCATGTATGCGTAGGTATATGGATGTAAAGGAGGCGAGAGAGGTGTCTCAGGATCATGCCAAATGGAAGTCTGTAGTCTCTGCCTACCCCTCTGGGTGACAGGCGTGAGTGTTTATGTATGTATGTTTATGTATTATAGATCTTACTATCACAAGTCATTAATATGAAGACTTCTACCTACAACTCTAGTATATTTTTTAATTCTTTTATTTTTAATTTAGGGACTTAGGTTATTTTTAACATATCAGTCCTATTGTACTTTATAACTAAATAACACACTACAATTTCTTAAATTATTGACACAAAATATTAACTAAGTTATATACAATTTGAGCAGCATTAGACAATGGTTCAGACAGAATGCTTTGATATTCCCCTAGGTTACAAATTTTAATATCAGTTTTGGCAACTAATAGTTTTCTTTCATGATGATTTTTGGAACATTCCACGAGCAAGTGTTGTACATCTTCTATTGTTTTGCATGTATCACAATTTGGGGATTGTTTCTTTTTCATCATGAAAGCAAACTTATTACACGGAATGTGTCCGGAACGAAGTCGCATTGCTAATACAATATATTTTCTATTCAACAGACATTGATTAAACCAAGGCACTTTCGGAGGCTGACGCTGGATGGTTTTGTACCAAATCCCTTTTTCTTGCGATCTTTAATCAAAATATTCTTTCCAAATTTTATAACATTTCTCTTTTTTTTTTTTTTTTTTTTATAGAAGAGGGGGCAAACGAGCATGTGGCTCACCTGATGTTAAGTGACTACCGCCGCCCATGATCAACCGCAACACCAGGGGAATTGCAGGTGCGTTGCCGGCCCTTTAGAAAGGAGTAAGCTCTTTTCTTGAAGGTCCCCAGGTCGTATCGGTCCGGAAAAATCACCGGTGGTAAATTATTCCACAGAGAGGTTGTACGCGGAAGAAAACTCCTTTTGAAACGTACAGTGGTGGACCGCCAAGCATCCAGATGGTGTGGATGGTATCGGGACGTTTGCCGTGTAGTGCGTTCACGAAATTTGGCGGCTGGGATTAATCCGAACAATTCCTCAGAGCACTCCCCGTGATAGATGCGATAAAATACGCAAAGAGATGCAACATCTCTTCGCAGCGCCAGTGAATCGAGCCGATCGGAAAGCACTCGGTCGTCGACGATTCGAGCCGCTCTGCGCTGGATGCGGTCAAGTGGAAGGAGCTGGTACTGGGGAGCCCCAGCCCAGAGATGGGAACAGTATTCCATGAGCGGCCGAACCTGCGCCTTGTAAAGTTGCAGGCGGTGTGCCGGCATGAAATACTGTCCCGCTCTGCTGAGCACGCCAAGCTTTTTAGAGGCCAATTTGGCCTTCCCTTCCAAGTGACCACGAAACTGCACGTCACTCGATATGTCGACGCCGAGGATTCCGATACTGGCTGAGGCAACAAGGGGAGTGCCTTGAAACTGAGGGGATACGACAAAGGGGTTCTTTTTAGCGGTTAACGCTAAAAATTATTTATTATTATTAAATCTTTATATTTAATTAAAATTTCTGAATAATCAGGATAAACATTACATTCTCTTCTATGGGTGATTGCCAATTTCGCCAGCTTATCAGCCTCCTCATTGCCCTGTAAACCGATGTGAGACGCTACCCACTGCAATGCTAACTCACGGTTTTTACATTGAAGTTTCAATATTTGATTTAATAATCGAATATGCTATCGATACACCTCTGAGACCAGAGAAGCATCGAGCAATATGTTCAAGAGCACTCTTGCTATCAGTTAGAATGAATATTTTTGAAAATTTGTTGTACCAGCATGTAATAGGGTATCATTTATAGCAATTAATTCAGCTGACATTATCGTAAAATTATTGGGAATTTTAATTTTACTTTTATTACCCAACAATGAGTCGAAATAAGCGGCACCTGCACCATATTTATCTTTGGATCCATCACAGAAAATTTTGTGCGAAAAATCCGAAATAATTAACATTTAATTCATTTATTACATTCGAATTTAAAGTATTTATCTCCTGACATCTTTTAGCACCCTTGATACAATTTAAGTCCTGTTTAATTAAGTTTTTAACATTAATAATTGATACCCAAGTATTTAAAGAGAACGTATCTATTGAATCCGAAGAATACACACTATTAATATTAACTTGTTCTAATATAATTGCTAAAAGTGGTTTCTTTTTATTTTGCCAGTACCTGTCTTGACAGAATAAGCTGAGTTCTGTTAATAGTTTAATAGTAGTATTATTAGTTCTAGATTTACCTTTCAGACAATATTTATATACTAAAAATTTTCTTCTAATATATAGAGGCGTTATATTTAATTCACTTTCCATAACGTGTAATGGTGTACTTTTGATAAAACCTCCTATAGTACGAAGTGCTTGATTTTGGATTTTATCTAATTTACAAATATTTCTATTAGCACTCATATCATATAAAAAACCGAAATCAATTCTGCTTCTTATAAGTGATAAGTATAACCTACGTAAATGCTGCGGATGGATACCCCAACCATGCCCTGTTAACACTTTTAATATATTTACAAATTTTAATATCTTTTGGCTAATTTCATTAATGTGTTTAGCCCATCTTAATGACCGGTCCAACCAAATACCCAAATATCGCATTTTGTCTGTCTCAACTATTCTCTTTCCATATAGTTCTAATTTAATTTCCTGACGTCTAAAACCTCTACTAAAAATCATAAGCTTAGTCTTGGCGATAGAAATATCTAAGTCAATTTTATTAAATGAAGTAATTATAAAATTTAAAGCATTCTGAATGTTATACTCACAGTCCTTAAGATTTTTTGAACTAGAATAGATTATAAAATCATCTGCATAATATTGAGCGATAGATACATTTTGTATCTGTCTACATATATCATGTGTAATAATGTTTAATAACAAGGGAAATAGAGAATCATCCTGCGCCAAACCCTTACTGGCCCATCTTTTCAATTCCCCTTTATGTGATTCCCTTTTTATAACAAGATATCTTTCGGTTAAAAAAGACCAAATATATTTACAAAATTTTAACCCAACCCGAAGTCTGTCAAGAACATTAACAAATTTATCAATAGGGACATTATTATAAGCGTTCTCTATGTCAATAAAGCAGGCGACAGTAGGTATATTTTTTGAAAAACATAGCTGAATATGTGTTACTAAGCATACTAAACAAATTTTTTGAACTAGAATAGATTATAAAATCATCTGCATAATATTGAGCGATAGATACATTTTGTATCTGTCTACATATATCATGTGTAATAATGTTTAATAACAAGGGAGATAGAGGATCACCCTGCGCCAAACTCTTACTGGCCCATCTTTTCAATTCCCCTTTATGTGATTCCCTTTCTATAACAAGATATCTTTCGGTTAAAAAAGACCAAATATATTTACAAAATTTTGACCCAACCCGAAGTCTGTCAAGAACATTAATAAATTTATCAATAGGGACATTATTATATGCGTTCTCTATGTCAATAAAGCAGGCGACAGTAGGTATATTTTTTGTAAAAATAGCTGAATATGTGTTACTAAGCATACTAAACAATCCAAACACGATTGAAATCTGCGAAACCCACTGGTGAAAGGGGATAATATGTTGTTCTCTCTTGTTGTGTTCTATGTACCATTCTAATTTTTTCGTTATAAGAGCATGAAATGTCTTCCAAATACAGGACCTTAGCTTAGGTATAGGAATAATTTTAATATTTCGCCATTGCATGGGTATGTATCCCATTAATAAAATTGTGTTAAATAAATATAATAAATACTGTTTGGTAACATCAGGTAAATTGTAAATCTGGTAGCTTCTCCGTTATTTATTGATATGAAACCGAAATCCAAGGAACTGTCTAATAATTGTGCCCCTCTGGTGTCAATTTTATTAGACCAGTTGGTGTGATGCCAATTAAAATCTCCTCCAATGACACATTTGCGTGGGCAAAGGGCGAATATGTTATTCCAGTCAGTTGAAGATGTTCTAACAGAACATGGGCAGTAAATAGATAAAACATTTTCAAGATACTTACTATTGAAGATTTTGACATAAACTACTTCTAAACTAGTATTGCTTGTACTTATTGAATACACCATCATATGAGTCGCATCTATCTTTCCTAAAAATGTTATATTCACTTATTCCTAGAGGCGAGCTCTCAGCCAACCACGTTTCACTCACAATTGCTATATGTGTTTTTTCTTGTATCAACAGAGATTCAAAATTAACTATTTTGGGCCTAATACTTTGTGTATTCCACTGGAGTAATCAGTTAGTCAGCGTAAAATCCTTTGATGTATTATCCATTAACTGCATTTAAAAGTTTATTTAATATTCCTTTTTCCATTATAAGTTTCATAAAGATTATTTTCAACTCTTCAGTTACTAACTTAACAATATCGAGAATCTTTTCTTCTACTTTGCTTTCAGAGAACAGAATTTCTTTTACCCTTTTAATAATTACCCATATTTTAGACATCTTTTGTTTCTCCTCTTGTTGTTTTGTACATGCGTCAGTTTCCATTCTTGCCACTTCTTCATTATTTAATATAGCTGACTTGATTGCAACAATGGACTTTTTTTGCTTTGAATGTTTAACGATTTTTTAATATGTTTATTTTTAACGTTTATGTAAGTTGTTTGTTCTTTTCTGGTATCCTCTTCTCCACTTTCAGTATTTGATAAGTTTTGATTTATGTACTTATTTGTTAGAAGTATATCTCTATATGATTTCGTATAATCAGCACTTGGTACTTTATCAGCCTTTTGTACTTTGTTCATAGATGTTGGGCTATCCATAGTTTGTTTTGTCTGTTTTAAGTAAATATCCAGTGCTTTTCTGTAGCTAAAATTTTGTTGACTCATGATGTTACGAATACTCTTTTTCTTAATAAAAATAGGGCATGCTTTATCAAATGCCATATGTGGGCCTTTACAGTTTACACATTTGTATTCAATAGTTTCGCAATTTGCATGTCTGTCTCCACACTAAGGACATAAAATCTTTTTATTCGGGCAAAATTTTACGTAATGTCCAAAACTCCAGCATTCAGAATATTGCGTGACTGGAAAGTGATAGTTTTTGACCTTGAATCTGCATCCATATTCATACACATATGAAGGCGGTTGTTCACTTTTGAATGTCAAACGAAATGTTTCGCTGCCTGTCCACTTACCATTTATATCTAAGCGTTTGAGTCTTTTCACAGACGGTTTTTCACATGATGAGGTCAAATTTTCTAAAATTTCTTGTTCTTCAATTCCTATATCAATTACTTTTACAACTGCAAAACATAAGTGTGTCTCATTCACAATACGACAATGATAACCCAAACCTAAAATCTTTTAACAGTTTATTAGCTGATAAGCATCTTCTAACTTCTGGAATTGAACCAAAACCTTATACGGGCTTTTATACCGAATTTTCATAATGTTAATAATATTTTCCGACTTAAGTAGTTTGGCCAAACCTATTTGTTTAGGAAGGCATTGCAAAGATGTAATAAAAACTTCATAATATTATTCTAACGTTGCATTTCTAACGGCGTTGTCAATGCGTCAATGAGTTGATTATTGTCGGCACTTTTTGTTAAATCACTCCTTATACGACATTTTGGTTTTCTCCTTGTAACTGTTGTAAAACCCTCTTCACTGTTATCTTCTCCACTGTTCTCCGTTTTTTCTTTTTTCCGCTGACCTAATTTTATGTTGAGTTTCCATCTTATTTTTCTCTAGATATTTGGAATTTTCACACTCATGTTCACAATCGATTACACCTTTACAATCACTTTGGTCACTATTCTCAAAGTTACCATTGTCTTCCTCATTACCCTCTTCCATGGTACAGAATTTAGTTTAAAAGAAGAATAAAAAAAACAGTGATTCAAACTAATAAAACGTTGAAAAATTAAATTTTTAACACTTGTGACAGCTAATCACCATGACAACCGTATGAAAACTCTATTATTGTAATGCTATACTTCATAAATATACTAATAACTAATATATGACTAGTCATTGTGCAACAGTACTTTAAGCAGTCGGTCACCCAACCACACCATATAATGCTTATGCGTCAAGTAGACATTTTATAATAATGCTTTAGTATAATAGACATACAAGAAATACAACAGCATACAAGAAATATGGAATGGTTGGATGAAGAATATATGCAATCATTTACTAAAAGGAATGAAATGCGGCTTAGATATCTACAAAAAAACAGTGTAAGAAACGAAGAAAACGAAGAGGCTGAGGGAAACAAATGTATGAAATTAGCGAGACGTAAAAAAAGGAACGCAGAAAGAGAGCGATTCAAGAGAATGGAAGACCTGAGAGTACGTAATTTTACACGCTCCTTCTATAGGGAAATAAACAGCCTTTGTAAGGGATACCAACCCAAACCCGACGCATGTCAAGACAAGTCAGGGAGTTTAATCTCGAAAAAGGCAGACGTGCTTAGGAGATGACGGGAACACTTTAGCGAACTGATAAACATATCAAATGCAACAACAGATAAAGAACCCATCTTTTCCGAAGTTGAGGAGCGACTAGAATCACCCACAAGAATGGAAGTCCATCAAGCCATTCGTAGTCTGAAGGACAACAAGGCACCAGGGCTTGATACTATCACCTCAGAGCTACTCAAAAGATGCGGAAGCGGTATCGTGGAGAGAATGCACGGACTCATTACTCTTATATGGGAGGAAGAAAGAATACCCGAGGAGTGGAATTCAGGTATTATTGTACCGATATTCAAGAAAGGGAATAAGAGTATTTGTAGCAATTACAGAGGTATTACAGTCCTCTCAGCGGCTTATAAAGTTTTGTCAGGAGTTATTTATAGGAGGCTCTGTGGTTATGCTGAGGAGATATAGGGAGAGTAACAATGCGGATTCCGACCTATTCGCTCTACTGTAGACCAGATTCACCTCCTGCGGCAAACACTGGAAAAGGCGTATGAATATAACATTAACTTGCATCATATGTTTGTGGATTTTAATCAGGCATTTGACAGTGTGAACCGTACACAAATACTCTCCAGCAGCTTCATTTGGGCGTGCCCAGTAAATTGGTTAGGCTTGCGAAGCCACGTTAAAGCACTTTAAAGCTGTTGTAGCCATACAGAATGACCTGTCCGAGCCTTTTGAGATCCGTTCGGGAGTGAAACAAGGAGACGCAATATCGTCTATAGTCTTCAATTTGGCACTTGAGGCTGCCACACGTAAATTGAACATCAATGGCCTGATTAACAACACCATTCAACTCGCTGCGTATGCCGCGTATGACAAAGTGGACGCCGCAACAAAAGAGACCGAGAGGCAGGCCTAAAATGTGTTGGTGTGACTGTGTTGAAGAAGATCTCAGGAAGATGGGAAAGTTTACCAGCTGGAAGAAGGTAGCCAGGCAGCGTGACAAGTGGAGGAAGATTGTGGATGAGGCCAAGACCCACAAAGGGTTGTAGCGCCAACGGAAGAAGAAGAAGAATAATAGACATTACTATCATAAGTCCCTAATATAGGACTAGTCATTGTGCAACAGTACTTCAAGCAGTTGGTCACCCGACCACCCCATATACGATCAGTTTCTCCATAAAAGCCATCTATACACGAACACCCTCCATAACTTAAGAATTTCTTATACGCGAACATTTTTAAACAATTTTCTAATTATTAGATAAATGTTATTTAACCTCATTTTTATAATATTTTAGACTTATATTTCTATTATTTATCACATTTTGAATATTTTACAAGTTTTTTTAATAAATTTATTTATTTTGAAAGACAATATTTTTCCGGCAGTTTATAATGGTTTATAAACTGCCGGATTCATTTTTAGGAAAACAAGGAGGTGATGTCGATAGGCCTGTAGTTGGTCAGATTTAAGCATTCACCTTTTTTTGGGATTGGGTGCCCCGAAGTTTTCTTCTATGAACTCGGTACTACGCCTAGAAAGCATGAGTACCGGAAAAGATACGTTAAAAACGATGCCAACTTTGAAGCACACGTCACCAGCACAATAGAGGGCACTCCATCAGGTCCACTCGACTTTTTGAGTCCAGAGAGTGGAGTGTTTTGTGCATCGAGTACTGTATAAATAGCATATCCTGCATGAAGCACTCACAATGTGAGATGGTCGACGGTGTGTTTTCCCATTATAGAGAGTCAAGTTTGACGTAAAAACAGAGCGATATTTTTCAGTAAGTCCTCCTACCTGTGCATGGAAAAGATGGCTGACAGAAGTCCCTTAGACAACCGTGGCGAGAGACTACAATGCACGTGTTTTCGAAGGAAGCCGAATCAGGTTATCACCAATGCTAACGTTGTATGTCAAAGTGTCAAGGCAATGACACTTTTAAAGTACACAGATAATAGAATAAAAAGCTCCTATCGATGAAGAACCACATCAGCGAAATAATTCGCAACAATGTTGAAATTATGCGGCGAGTAGCAAATGGACCAAAGTTAGGATTTTTTTTTATAGGACAGGGTGACAAATGAGCACATAGTCCACCTGATGGTAAGTGGTTGCTGTGGCCCATAGATATCTACATCTATCCCCGGTTACGAATCAAGATGCAGATGCGTTGTAACCCGTGAGGACTAAGATGGAATGCCTCATTTCCAGTAAAAAGGGTCTCCGGTTCTCTACACTCACCATACAAAACACAGCAGCATTAAACTACTATTTTACGCTGGTATTCTGTGAGAGCGTGGTCCTTCCCCAGTCGAGCCGACCCATTCGTGCTACAACTATACTACAAATATAACTGCAGCATGGCTCTACCACGTATAGATGCAAAAAAAGATCACATACCACATTCAGATCGTTTCATCTGGTTCCGCTCTAAATCGCTAGCCTTGGATTATGGGTATGTAAGTAAATCAAGTAATGAAGCATTTGGTGGAATGTGGGAAATACCTATGTCTAGCAGTGTTTTTCAGGTCATTTCAGGGAAATTGGATAAGGGTGACGAACGATCTCACAGTCTACCTGATGGCAAGTGTTTGCTGTGGCCTGTAGACCATCTAAATTTATCTTTGTGAAGACTAAGGACCGTGATGATTCGCGAAGGTATCGACATAATGCTACCCTCTGCTTGGAATCCCAATATTAGTTAAAATGAACCCCAATGCAATATTATTATTGCAAGATTTTAAATTATAATTTTGCATTTTTGATTGATCATGAGTAAAGCACTCGAAACGTTAGTTACAAAAGTTAATTAAATGTGATAAAATCAGTAAAAATTTATCACCACCAGTCTCAAGAATAAGAGAAAAACACAGCACCGTCTTCGATGTCAATTTGTTATATACTTATTATATTTATATATATATATATATATATAATATATATTATATACTCATTGTATTTTCTGCACCGCCAAGTAGCTTTGTCATTTTGAGTCTTTGGACATCGATTTATCGCTTAAAGAATAAGCTGGTGACATGTTAAAATTACATGAGTACATTATGATGGCCTTGACATACATTTGCACTTGACCATTAAGAACTTAAATGAAAATAACAAAATGTTTCATAATTTTATTGCTCATAAATCATCACATGTTTATTTCACTTAGAATCAAAACTACTATGTCATATGTAAATAACACCATAACAATAGTGAATTACATAACGTTAATCATTAAAATGTAAAGCAAATTTTTGTATGTACTTATTCTTAGCTTTTGAATTGATATTGTACACGTTTTAAAATTATTAAAGCAAAAGTGAAAATTAAAATTTATATTAGCTATAATTATATTATTAAAACATAAACATCGAATATTGAAGTACGTTTTCATTATGAAAGGAGACTAATTAAGCTAATATTTATCGAAAAAATGAACGCAATTTTTTTAATACAAAACGCTTAATAAAAATAAAGCATTTTGATCACGTTTGTAGCTGTATAAGCTAAGGTACCTTCGCCTTCATTGTATCGGAAAATATTGCAACAAAAAAATTATGCAAACAAATACTTAGCATTGTTTTCACTCAATTAGTCGAATTTCGACCACAGGATAGCTTTAATTACATTATGTACAAAAAGTTTCTTAATTTGTATCTAAGACAATTGATATCAACTTGCAGCCTTTATGTTACCCTTATTAAATGGCAAATAAGTCCTCAGAATTCTTGTTTTTTTTTTAAGTTAGATAGCTCAAGATTTTGCATTAATTATTATTGTATCCATTTACTAAATCTTATTTAATGTACTTAATTGTAAGAGAAGCTGTATATTATGCTTAAAAATTGGTTTGAAAATGTTACAA